CAGAGAGCTTCACAGTTTCTAAAGGCCAGTTCTCTCCCCAAGACTATTGAGCTCATGTTCTTCATAAATTAAGAATGGAGATGTAGCCCTTAAAATAACAAATGCCTGACCTAATCAATCTAGCATTTGGGTCTAACACTAAATGATAGGCCCCGAAAACTAATTATGTTTTTTGGCAAGGAGGTTGAATTAAAATTGAAACACACAGGTTAAAAAGGCACTGAAGCATTTGTGAGTCTTTTTGAAAAGGCTGCACGCGCGCACACATACAAACGCACACGGCTTGAAACAGGAACCTGATTCAATAACTCATGCATTTATTTTTAAAATGAATCAGATTAGTCCCATGTGTGACCTGCCGGTCCATCTGTATGTGCTGGACTTATTGGGCACTCCTCTCACGCTTGCTTCAGTTTGAAGTATGAGAGAGATAAATTTAGTTTAATTTTCAACAGCTCAAGCTATCCATTTTCCAAATGGACCATCTGGATCAGCCTATTAAAATTAATTTATAACTTTGCAGTGTGCAAATTCGTTTGTTAGCGTAAATAAAGTTGCCAAAAACTTTTGCCACTTGTCATTGTTTTTCTGAGGGCTGTTTTTCTACCATGACTTTCACTTTACATCTCAAAATTTTATTTGATCATATCAAACAGCTGTCAAGAATAGAACCTTCAAATCCTTGCTTCAGAGCTCTGCACAGCTCTCATTTTTTTGGTCATGTTCTTGCCAACAAAAATAGCTTCGATCCCCAACTTTGTTTTCTCCTCTGTTCCAAACCCCACAACTTCTTCCATGGTGCTCACCATGGGTGGAAAGCCCTCCCAGCCCCAGTATGTTAGGCGTCCAAACTACACTCATTCAACTCCCTAACTTCTCACAAAGTTCATTTCAGTCAACCGGAAAATGTCATTTCTTCTAGTAGGAAAGTCCACAGGACTGAATCAAATGGTCTTTAGCCTACGTACAGCTCTGGAAGCAGAACAAGATCTTTAACATTTTTCTGTCTGGTCTGGAAGAAAACATAAAATCATCCTTGATAAAGTTTGTACATGACACAAAATTTCAGGAAGTGCTAAATAATGAAGAGGATAGGTCCCGGATTCCAAGGGATCTGAATCGCTCAGTAAACTGGGCACAAACAATATTTGTTTTAATATGGCTAAATGTAAATATATACGTCTAGGAACAAGGAATATAGGCCATGCTTATAGGGCACGGGACTATTCTGGGAAGCAAGGACTCTGAAAAAGATTTGGGTGTCATGGTGGATAGTTAGAGAACATGAGCTCCCAGTGCCATGCTGTGGCCAAAAGGGCTAATGAGATGCTGGGCTGCATAAACAAGGGAATCTCGAGTAGGAGCAGAGAGGTTATTTTTGCCTCTACATTTGGCCCTGGTCAGACCAATGCTGGATTAGTGTCCTAAGTTCTGGTGCCCACAATTCAAGAAGGAAGTTGATCAATTGGAGTGGGTTCAGAGAAGAGCCACGAGAATGATTAAAGGATTGGAAAACCTGCCTTATCCTGAGATACTCACAGAGCTTAATCTATTTATTTTAACAAAGGGGTGACTTGATCACAGTCTATAAGTACCTAGATGGGGAACAAATATTTACTAATGGGCTCTCCAATCTAGCAGAGAAAGGTCTAAGACGTTCCAGTGGCTGGAAGATGAAGCCAGATAAATTCAGACTGGAAATAAGGGTGAGAGTGAGAGTGAGAGTAGTTTAACAGTGAGAGTAGTTAGGCATTGGAACAATTTACCAAGGGTCATGGTCGATTCTCTATCACTGACAAATTTTGACAAATCAAGATTGGATGTTTTTCTGAAAGACCTCCTCTAGGAATTACTTTGGGGAAGTTCTCTGGCCTGTGTCAGATGAGGTGATCACAAGGGTCTCTTTTGGAATTGGAGTCTATGAATCTAACCATCACAGGCCCCCAGCCCCAAAAGAGCCCGCCAGCCTGAGATACCTTTCAAAGCAAAGGCTGTGCTTCGGTACAACAAAAAAAATCAGAGCAGTCAAGTGTAAAGCAATGGAGCAACTCACTTAAACTTATCTACTGCAGGGCATGTAAAGACTACACCGCCACTGAAACCGACCAGTGAATCTGAGCCATGATCTAAAACTAAGTCATCCTGAGCGGGTTAGATTTGCAGACATTCCTATCAGAAGACATGAAATTCTCAAGCTTGGATAATTTTTCCTAGTCTTCTATGTAGGAAGGTCCACAGTTCCCAACAACGGAATTTTATCAGCAGTGTCTCCAAGGAGGAAAAGAAAAAATAAAACTATATACAAACAATAATGACAGAGTTAATTTCTTTTCACTGGGGTACTACTACTGTATGCCTCACTTTTTGCTAATTGTTGCTTTAGCTAATTTACAGACCCAATCTGTAGTGTTTTGCGAAGATGAAGGGGGATGAAAGACCAACTGGCCACCTTGCTTCTCTCCTTGTGCAAGGCATAAGATGTTTCCACCCACAAAACCAAACCATCATTGCCCTTATTCAGTGTGCCCTAATACTGGAGGACAGAATAAAACATATGGCTGTGCATGCCTCTGACATGCTGCACCTAGATTTGGAAATCTCTGACAGTTTCTTGCCCTTCTCTAACCGAGGAGAAAGATCAGAGAATTTCAATTCCCCAAACTTGCAGGATGACAGAGTCCTACACACATCTAGGGCGTTACAGCACTTTTCTAACAGTTGCAAAAGCTGCCGCCAGGCCAAGAAGTAAGGAAGAAGTTTGGAAATACTGGCTTCCAAAAGTGAAGTGAAGGGCTCTGCAATTGGATAATCATATTAGTATATGTGGACACACTGCCTTGAGACAGAGACGATAAGAAGCCCCCTTTGGAGACAGACTTCTCGGTAGATATCAATGTCTCAACTTGCAATTTTGGTTTGCTGATGCATTTTTTCAGGAATTTTAGATTCCGAATAGCCTTATCCCTTCTTGATCCTTTTGGGAACTAGAACAATGGAGTCAGAGCCAGTCCTCTCTCTGATGGAGGGACTTATTCTACTGACCTTATCTACAGGAGGTATTTGATGGCTGCTCTTATGCTGGCTCCTGTTGGTGTTGCTGGAGGTTAGGAGAACCGTCAGTGTGTGTTTGAGACACTTGATCAGTTCTAACAACCATTCTTCCTAAACAAAGTCAAGGGCCCATTTGTCTTAAGGAGGAAAGACAGTTCTGTGCTAACTGGAGAAGCTTACAGCTAATCTCGCTTTCATGCTGGATTGGTCTGAGTTGGAATCATGCCGATTTCTTGGCATACGCCCAGGCAGAGAAATCATCATTGCATTCATCCCCCCCCCAATGCTGTTATTCCATGTTCTGCTGTTGTATCCAGTGACTTGTCGGCTGTATGTAGAAGACAAGGAACCACAAGGAGAGTGACATTCTTTGTAGGAAGCTTTGCAATCATTATTGCTTGGTTGCAGTTTTCTTCCCCTTTTCTGATGAGTCAGCAGGATACAAAATATGCAGAAGACCCCGTTAACATATTTAACGATAGGACATTTGCCAGATGAGTGAATCTTTTCCTCTCTCTTCTTTCTGGGCTTGCTCAGCATGCTTGTGCACCTTGCGGAAGCAGTAGGAAGGCCTGGAAAAGCCCATCCTCAGCTGAAGAAGCAGAATTAAACCAGGAGGCTCTCTGGTGAAGCCCCACAACTCTGTCTACAACAGACAGTTCTGGCTCTGATCCCAAAGCTGCAAGCTGGCTGAAGATCAATTGCTAGGATCTGTGGCTCTCCCTCATAGAAAATATGTAGTCTAACATTATGTAAGGACAGCAGGTTAGGGAACGAGAAAGATAGGAAAGCGGGAGGAGGGGGCATGCACCAATGTAATCTAACATCCCTTCTGGGGATCCCACTATACCTTGTATTATCTCTATCTTTTAGATCACAGGCTTCTCACAGCAGGACTGTGCATCATGTACACCACAGAATACATCATTAACACTCTGTATGGCTGGATCTTGAGGTATAAGACAAGCATCCCTTTCCCCTGAACTGGGGGGGGGGGAGGAAAGAAGTACTTTTTCAATAAAATCTTATTTTTCCTTCGACAGTATTATTGAAGGGATTGATGCCTAGTTATCTATGCTGTATCTACTACTGTTGTATTGAAGTACCTAACACATATTATAAAATGTGTTTATAAGGCGCACATAGCCAGTTTACAAATCTCTGTCCTCTTTTCTCAGCCAGGATGGGGGAACTGCTGAAATGGGCCTTTTGATGGTGCTAGGCAAGTTAACTTTTTTGGGTGGGGTGGTGTGGCGGGAGGAAAAATCTGCTCTCTTTAAAGGATATTGACACATTTATTTGTTGAACACCAGGGTGCTCAGTGATGTACAATACATACAGGAAGATCCACTCCCTGCTGCATAGAGCTTAATTTAAATTAAGATGGTTAGGAATTTGTTTTAATATAGAGAAGGGATCAAAGAGACGTTAAAACTTTTGCGGGGTGCAGGGGCAGAGCAGATCTATAAGGACCCATCTTAAACTTTTTGAGGGAAATTAAAGTAGCTCTACTTTTAGGTTATCAGTCTGGACAATGGCTCTAAGAAAGCCTGCCTTCTAAGTATAGTAGTTCTTTGTAAAGCACCTTGAGATTCTAGGTATTGTAGAAAGGCATAAATGAGACAGAGGGAGTACTACAGAGCAAGGCTGGAGAGTTCCCAATGATTAGCAAGTAAACAAAACTCAGATACAAAGTCCCAGCTGATGGCGCTATACTTGCTCAGAAATGGATATCCCTGTTCATATTCACAAAAGCCCAACTTATCTGATTTTCCCAGGTACAATGCTACTTGTCTTCTCCCACTAAGGAGAGTAAGAAAGAACTTTCAGGCTCAAGCATGACAAGTGCTCCAGATAAAAGTCAGGAACCTAACTCTAGTTTCCTGAAGTGCTTTAAGATTCAAGCTGTTAGGAAGTTTTATTGTATTTTTAAGAGACTAGTTGCATACCTGTCTAAGTGAATTCTTCTCTGGAATGATCTTCCTAGGGGGCTCGTCATTATTACAGTCTTCTCGCTCTGAGGAATTCTGCGAAAGAAAGTAAGCTTTAATTCAGTTCTTATCCCCAATGTTATTCTGTGGGAGGAAAGGAAACTGAATATTTGCAAGCTACACAAGCTAGATTTTATACATACATGAAAAAGCTAGCCTCAGGTGTAAGCCAACTGGCTTGTTAGGACTAAGACAGAATTTTTCTCATTCTTAATAAATAATGCACCATTCGATAGGTATAGTGGAGAAGTTGTGTTTGTTTAGGACTTTCCTCTAAAACAGCCAGTACTGACCGCTGTTGGAGGTAGGATGCCAAGCAGGTGACTTGATGGCCTGATTTAATATACCACTGCTTATGTCCCTGAACTCCCTACAGTGACTTGTTTTCAAAAGATTCCATTTTATAAAGAGTAAATGTAGCTAATAAAATTCAACTGTCCCCCTATATTCCAGTATCTTTATATTAACAGGATTACTGACTGATTGCACAGGAGTTTAGTGGACTACCAACATTCAGATTTGTCTGGCCCACCTTTAAGTTGTGGTGAACCACGTCATCAGATTCTGTGATATCAGTGACAGCACCATTCCTGCTGTGTCTTCCAATGTCTGTTTGTGTGGCTGGCTGGTTTTGGTGTGTGCTCTCTCTCCCCAGAAAAGCTGACTAGTATCCTGCACTACTAATACCACATCTTATATTGGGAATATAGGGTGTTGAGGAGGAAGGATGAGCCATTAGAGGCTGCTCCAGAAATGCTCCTCAGCTGATGACAGGCTCAGAAAACTAGGCAGGAGACTTCTGTCCTCTTCACGCTGTCCTCTTCTGTCCTCCTAAGCTACGGATTACTTGTCTGGGAATCGTGCGATTGTTTATCTAAGGACAGAGGCTTTCTTTGGGACACATTCAGCAAACAATTATCTGAAAAAAAAAAAAAAATCCTGTCCACACTGGCCAGGGAAGCAATACTAAAACATGGTGGTTGCTATCACACTTTCAACAACCATGTTGATAGGCTAAGGATAGACTGCGTTGCTTAAAAAGGTTTGGAGGAATTCTGTACACACATGTAAAGTCAGTGTTGAACACCATAGTAGTAATAGCCTTTAAATCACAAACCCATGCATTCAATACCTGGAAGACTACTCAGTTTATAAAGGCATAAGGGAGAGGCATTAGGGAGTGCTAGGCCAGTAACAGGAAGAGTTTCTGGCTACAGCAGATGGGATCAGGATAGGATTTTAAGGTGGAAGTTGCATCCCCTTTATGATCATCACCTCCCAGAATCCTCCTCACCCATCAGTGCTCCTAACATATCCAGATCCCCCTTAGAGCTAGCTCCCAACCCCAAATTTCAGTCACTGGCTGGAGCATCTGTCAGTCTAGGAAGAGCTGGTACACTGCAAGCAGCGTGGTCGAGTGGGGACTGTAGAGAGGAAGCAGACTGCAATAAGCCATCAGTGGAGCAGTGTGTTTGGGTGCCTACAGCAGGTGCTGTGTGATCAGCAAGGGTCTAGGTAGGTTACAGCTTCTAGTTTCATTGAAGGAAAAGAAGAGAGTGGGAAGATGGCAAGGACATGAGCAAAGTTTGCTGAGAGATGGAAGAGAAGGAAAAAAACCCTCAAGGTAAACTGGTCCTGAGGATTCTAAGTAAATCAAGATCTGCAGACCAGCTAGTGAGCTTTACAAGACACAGAACTCAGGAGGCACAATGAGGTCTGAGCAGCTGTAGCGAGGGTTTTATAATGTGAATCAATCCTAAACAGGCCTGATAACTCAGTAAAACAACCCAAATCTTTGAGAAGTTTTCACACAGGGCCTCAACTAGGAGAAAGTTATTTGCTAAGTCTGGTTTAGAGAGAGCTAAACTGTATGAGTGTGAAAAGGAAATTAAGATGCATCTTTGCACAAACTGCTCTGTACTCATCTGCACACTTTAATAATGCAAGTAGGGATTTCAATTTTGATACTTCTGAAAACAGATTAATTGCTGGAGATACAGAATTTCAAAGTAATTCCAGGAACTGCTTTTATCTATTTTAAAGATGCATTTTGAATATTCAATCCCCCCCCTCCCATAATAGCATCAAAAATCCTATTTTTCCTCAAGTTGTGTGTTTTAGAAAACAGTTTTTAAAAGTGAAATCTCATCTTCCCCTTGCCTCTCAAACTGCCTTTCAATGTCATTGCAGTTACACCAATGTCAAAAGCCAAGAAATTCAATGCTGAGGTGAAAAAACAGCCTTTATTCTGAAATTCCTTGTTATCGCAACCTGTCACAAGTTTTCCAGTTTCTTTTTCTTTAAACTAAAGATCTAATTTTAAAAGCGAGCAGAAGACCTTTTTGCATTCATTATCTTTATAGGTGGCAAGGCTACGAGGTTGGCTGAACAAAGACCAGACAAAGACTGCCAAGTGCATATGGTGGTTCACAGCTTGGTGTCTCACCATTCTACAGTACCCACACAGCAGCTCCAATAGCAGACTATTAAACAGGAGCGCTGCTCATGCACTTTTGTTGGCAAGTAAGTTACGCTTGGTGAAGACAGAATGACTGGAAAGCATTACACTTAAGAAACAAAGCCCAGATGTTTCCAACTCCCGCTTATTTCTCAGGAATAGGAAAAATCACCATTCCAGGTGTACTACAAGCCTCCAAATAGTTCAGAAATAGTCAGACCTGCATTAAAGTGAATTCCACTTAATAGAACAATGCCCAGTATTAGTCACCACTCAGCTTTCCAGTATTAAAGTTAGTCTATTATAACAGTGACCAGAAAACAACATCTGTACGTGTGTCTCATTGCTGAACCAATGCAAGGGAGGTCTGCTCCCCTATTTGAGGGCAGAATTTTAAGTTTGCTTCAGCATGGCTTCCAGCCACGAGGGAGGATGACAAAAGGCTATCAAAAAGGTGTTTTGCAATCATAGCTCTAGAATGTGGCATTTAATGCTCATATATTAAGATGGTGCATTAGAAATGTCAAAGGTTTGCAGGAACTGCAACTGATGTGTAGCAAAGACAAGATGGAATCTGCTAGGACGAAGGGGTGGGGACAGAATCAGCAACCATAAGGCTGAAATCCCAAACAACTTCTTGAATTGGGGCAAATTCTGAAATCCCATTTCCTCTAAGTGGCAGTGCCTTTCTTGGCCACCATCCTTACCAAAACCAGATAGGGCAAGAGAGTGCTTGTGCTGGAGTGCACGGAGCATCTTCTACAAACTAGGACTAGCCTGCCTTTTGCATCTTTCATTCAAGCCCCACAAAGCATTAAGTGGTTAAGTTTCCCATCTCCCCACCCCTGAGATTATCACCTCTATTTGCCTAGATTGATAAAATAGAGATCACAGGTTTTACACAAGGTCACACAGAATGTCAGTAGCAATGCTGGGAATGGAAACTGGGAATCCTGATTCCCAAATCTCTGCTTTAGCCCTCCTCTCTAGCCTTCCCCTCTGAGGCCCACATGGAGGGCATTTGCCTTTCATAGTTTATCTGCCCTAAAATGGTAACTGTCTTTTACAAGAGACTCTTTCCAAATACAATTTGGATTTAAAACTTCAGCCTGTAACTAACAGGATATAATTCCACAGCGTGTTATCATCCCAGTAACCACCACAAACTTGTTTCATTATTTGACTCTCCACATGAAGTCCCCACTATCTCAAACACGCCCTGTGTTACACAGCACACAGAGTCTGTAGGCTAAAGCATCTGAAGTGTGATGACATGCAGTATTTTCTGTATATAACACATGAAAGCAATACTGGGATTCAGATGGATGAATGTTCTCGGGCTACCAACTGCACAGAGCTACCTTTAGCACGGCCTTACTCCTCATGGTGAAGATCAGAAACCTGCCAACTGGGCAGTTGTTTTGATGATGGGTTGCCCAACACTAATTATAAAACAGTACAGATGCAGTCTTCTTCCACGTGTGAGGAGGTGGGGGAGAACTGTGTACAACTATTTTTTATGCTTTCAAATTCTTAATCCTGTTTGGAGCTGTCAGTGGGGGTTAATGGAAGCCTTGGATAGGAGAATTCCAATCTGGTTGGCAGATGGATAGGTTGGTTATAGCTGCATAACTATGTCTTGCCTGCAGGCACAATTCAGAACACTGTTAAAGCAATATAAAGTCTCTGTCAAGCTGAACCATTTGGATCAGTAGCAAGGAGAAATAATAATAAAAAACGGAGTTCATTTCTGGGCCTTGCACGTTTATGCTAGTATGCAGAAACTGATTAATTGTCATCGTGTGCTGGTCTGCTATACCTCAGATTTCTACTTCTAGAGTAGATTTTGCATGCTAATGTAATCATTCTCCCTCTTGAGACATTAGCAAATAATCAAATGAAAAACAGGATCATAATTTACTGAGATTCGGGCAATTCTCTATGCAAATTTGACTTGTTATTGCTGCTGCCTCGTTAATCTGAATGCCTTTGACAAACTCCTTTGATTTATGAACTCATGACAACTCCAATGTGTATATATTTTGCTAGATTGACATTATCATTAAGAGTGGGTGGACTGAGCTAACATGAATGGCTGATTTTATTCGCTGGTGTCTGCTGCTCAACAGCTGAGCATCTACTTCTCACAAGCCCCTGAGCGCCAGGCTCTTCCCATCTACCCATCCATTCATCATCTCGATGTTAATTGGCCCAGGCTTTAAGCAAATTTTCAACACGATTTAAAGGCACGATGACACTGATTACTGACCCTCTGCCATACGGTGCCTATTGATTAACCTGACAGAGATGATGTGCTTGAGGGAAACTAGGTGTGCGTGGACCTTAGGGGGGAAAAAATGTATTGTTTATGCAGGCAAAACACTTGTCATTATCCCAAAGGCCAGAATTTGTGCAGCACTGGCCCTTAAAACAAACTATTGCTTTAACATCTGCATCCAATACAGAAAGCACTTGCTTGCTTTGCAAAAAAATATTATAAATGCATTGCTATGTGCCAGTCTATATTTTAATAGAGCTCTCAGACAAATAGATCCCTTCCAATCAATTAACACTTGTT